CAAACTGGGAGAGTGGCTCCAACAGATCCCAGGAACAACATCTGAGATCTCTGTCCAGAAGAGTGCAGTCCTAGGAACAGCTAAGATACTGCAGAGGACCCTCAAGCTCCCAGGCCTCTGGTAGAGGACTGGTAGAGGAGAGAAGATCCATGAATACATCAGAAGATGGCCCCAAGTGATGACATGCTTAGTGAACACCTCAGGCAGCAGAAACCAGAGGAACAAGGGAAGGAAGAGCAGGAACCATCTCTGCATGGTATATACTGTATATATATCAAAACTGTACAGACTGATGCACCATTGTTAGTCTGAGGAAAGAAACAGAACAAGAATGGCTTCAGTTGTGAAGCTACAGTAGCTAGCAAGACCAAATTGTTGCCTAATTAAAGCCTAGGCTTTGTATAGATTTGAATATTTTTCATTGGCATTTAGAGTGAAACATTGCAAAAGAGGAATAGATACCTCTGACCAAACATGGCAAACCAAAGTAAAATTCAGCGTGGCTCGAGTTTTTCACCAATAAAACTTGAGGCTGCTTTTGAAGCATGCCACCAACATTCACAGCCAAGGTTCTCCTAATTTTGTTTTCCCATTTTCTCTTTTTTTCCACAATTTGAGTGTGATGTTGCTTGAAAAATACATCTCAAAATGAAAACTGTTAGATTGAATGCACATACCTTAGTGGATTTAAACATTAGATCATGCACTTTATTGCACTCGATTTCTTTGTTGGACTTTCCAAGCTTCATTTTAAATTTCTGGCACAGAAAAAGAGCATGTTTTTTATGCAAAAACCCAATATTTAAACTGTGTGGTCTAGATGGGAAAGTAATTTCAGGTGGCTTATTCATATTCAGTCAGATATTAAATGGTCAGTCCTGGGACATAAAGTGTTGTACCTCAGCTACTTTGTGCCTGTTTAAATTCAAACTCTGTCATATCATTAGAAATGCTGAAAAATTGAAGTTTGATGTGAAACAAGTGGTCAAAAAATCAGTAGTTGGGATGCCTTTGTAGGCATTCCACAGCTATCCCACAGCCTGGATATGATTAGTTGCTTTTCTAAACTTGACATGTAATCTAAAATCACTGCTTTGTTTCTTTGAAAGTCTGTGTTACAAATGGACCCAGCAGAGGGTGGATCCTATAAACATTGTACGGTTAAAAGACATATTTGCTTTTAATGGTACTTTCCCATCTCAAATATATAAATGGTTCACCGCTTCTGGTGCTTGCCGTACGCATTTGTTAAAAATAACTGCAAGACATAGAGCAGGTAAACAGTAAATGTCTGAATACTAAACGTTTTTGTACACTAAGCTGTTTTTTGTATGTGCTGCTTAACTGCATGGAGTTGCTTATAGTCATTCATACAGTTTGAAAAGCTAATGCAATGAAAGCTATATAATGGACTGTAATGGAGTGACAAGCCAGTGTTTTAAAAAGTTTACAAAGTTATGTTTCCATGAAAAAGGTAAGCATTTTACTAAAAAGTTAAAACATAGATAAAGCTAATGTATGTAGATAACAGGATGGTCTTCTTGGAGTTATTTTCATAGTATAGATGTTCAAAATTTAAACTTGTACATAGCGTTATCATTGAGTTTTAGATATGTAACCGGCTGAATGTAGTACTGATAGTTTTCACTGGTAAAGGAAGCTGCTATAAAGGAGTTACTAAATGACTAAATACTAAGTCACAAACTGGCTCATTATCTCTGCAATTCAATAAAACCTTTCAAAATAATTTAACAGTATTTTCTTTTATTATTTCAGTTTTAACATCATACCTAATTTAACCCTTAAACTCTGTTAAAGCTGATAATTCTGTATTGAACCTGCTAATTAACAATGTTGTTCAGCTGCTTCTCAGTATATTTAAACCTCATGAAATAATGGTAGTCTATAGATTTTTTTGTACATTTCCACTAATGCTGTGTTTGAGTATATTTATACTTTTATTTGACTTAATTTGCTATATTATTCTATGTTATTTTATTGCTGTGCAGTGGCCATCTTGGAGTTTGATGTCAGAAAAAAAAGTATACTAGTTGTCATGTGAATACAACATTTTCCAACATATACATGTGCTTTAGATATGATATTCTACTGTTATATCTGCTGGTTAGCTTTGCCCATAGAGCAACTGATTCCAGTTTTAATGTAAAAGGTAAAAGGTTTTACTTTTTTGATCTGACTGTGATATAAAGATGCTCTTTACTGGTTTAAACTGAACTCAACATTTGTCGTGAACTGTGATTGGTTGAGTTAAAGAAATAATTTTGTCATACACAATTGGTTAAACAAACTAAAAGATTATGTCAGATGAAATGTCAATTTACCATATACTGCATGATATTATTCCTTCTATACTGTATGTGGCATCATAAACTAAATTTTTTTGATCTTTGCTATTTCAAAGAACATTAAAGGATATATAGTGAAAAGTGGCTGTACATTTCTGACTACTCTCATGATCAGAAATCAGAAGAAATCTTAAATTAATAAATGAATTCATGTGTATAAAAATATAAATACTCATAAATAGTAGTGTTATGTTACATTTGCAGCAGGAACAAGTTATGGTTACTGTAGTCAGCTAAGAAAGACTGTTATTGACAGACAGGAAGTTTTTTTTTTGTATTTAAGTGCCTAAAAGTTCTGTAAACATTAAGGCAATCCTATTTATTCTTCTTCTGTGAACTTTTCCATTTGAGAAATCATATGTATGCCGCTGTGATTAATGTAATACATCATAAGTTATCGTAATACGTTTTGCCTAATATATTAGTTGGTCTGTCTCCCTAAATGCAGCAGCACACTGTATTATTATAATGTAACCCTGTTTATATCTAGTACACCCCATCCCCTCTCCTCTCCTCACGCTGTCCTGCATTGAAATGAAAAACTGAAAATCTTAGCAGTTAAAATTGCTTTGAAAAGGAGGATTGAACAAAAACTGAGTCACTGCATGGTTAATTCATTTGGAACAAAGTTTTATGTTCACAGTGACAAGAGTTCAGATATGTACAAATTTCCATCACAGAAGTAGAATTTACTTATTTACAATAGGTTACATAGGAGAATATAAAATGTTCTTGTCATCTTGTAATGCCATGTTACTGTAGGAAGCTTGATTAGAGCTAAGGCACTTGTTAAATTTCTCTTTGTTTCAGAACCACATAAGCATAGTACTTTTCCTGAACCGTGCTAGCACAGGGCCTCTGCAATTTTTAAAGTTTCATGTAGTCACAGCTAAATCCCCCCCAAAATTACCCTGAACTGCTATGCATCTCGCACATTAAGCTGCAATGCACTGTGTCCTGACACCTTTCTATCAGAACCAGTAATAGGTTTTCGAGCTAGCTTTCCCTAGCATCAGTGAGTCTTGGGCATCCATGACCCTGTCACCAGTTCACTGTTTGTCCTTCCTTAGACACTATTGGTAGGTACTAACCACTGCAGACCAGAAACACCCAACCAGACCTGCAGTCTGGGAGACGCTCTGACCCAGTTGTCAGTCATCACAGTTTGGCCCTTGTCAAAGTCACTCACATCCTTACACCTGCCCATTTTTCCTGCCTCCAACACATTAACTTTGGGGACTGAATGTTCACTTGCTGCGTAATATACCCCACACACTGACAGGTGGCACTGTAACAAGATAATCAGTGTTTTTCACCTGTCAGCAATCATAATGTTATGGCTGATTGGTGTATAACACATAGCACTAACAAACTCTCATTTACTGTAGTGTTATTGAGTCATTCTATCATTTCAAAGTCAGCCTGTTTCTTGTGGTTTTCCTAATAAATAAATGTACATACACAGAAATCCACAAAAGTGACATTCTGTGCAAAAGAACAAAAAGCAGGTAAACTGCCAAGAATTATATTACCACACATTAAGAGTTGATATAAAGTTGCTGTTTATTTCATATACTGTGGAGTATAAAGTAAAATATAAAGTAATATCATTTCTCTAATGATGTTGGAGGACATAAGTCATATGAAAATTTAAAAAAGCATCTCTTTTGGGGATCCCTGTGCATATGCTGTATGGTACAGATAAATGTCTGTGTTAATGGATCTGTGATATAAATACAGTGGTGACTTGTGTCACTAATACGTGATTTAATAGATATGCTAGCTGATCCAAATATATTAATCTATACATGTTAATCTTTATAGATATGTATCCTCTTACATTCTTAACAGCCATAAGTCATACAAAATTGTTTTGTAGAAGGATCTGAGGTACAATGAGAAGTCACATCTGTATTAGACAATTTATGCTTTTGGTCTGCCAGGAGAGCAGAGCTTTAAGATGATGCTATGTAGTAGAACTGTAGTTGGACACATCGTTTCCTTTGCCCACGTGACTTAGGTTTGATTTGATTAGCCTTCATTTGGTTTTGAGGAGCCATAATAACTGAAATGCCATTCACCATGACTGAGGTAAATATCAACCAGTCTGGGTTCTAGCAAGTTTTATATATGATAATGAAATTCTATAAGATGTTTATATACAGATGGGTGACAAATTAAAGGAAAATCCTGAATAAATGAGTGGCAATACAAAAAAATGCAGGGGTTGCTGATTAATCAGCCAATTATTTTCTTATGTTTTTATTCACAGATGTCATAAATTGGAAAACAAATGTTGATTTGGACTTTCAAGAGTCAAAGCAGGTATCCTCAAACAAAAAAACAAAAACCATAAACAAAGTTCATAGGTGGCACAAGAGAGGGGCTTGAAGGTGCTGCAACTACCCCTAGGATAGCCAGAGTACAATTATTGCACTGCCAAGAAATGTCTGTTGATTATATACATTTTGTTATTTTTAATGGGTGAATACTCTTATTTATTATTTGAAAAAGAAATAATTACAATAATAAAACAAACAGATTATTAAAACCAAAATTACAAAGCCAACACATGTGGCTGAATCAGATGACCTGTGTGACTTGCGTGCACATAATGGTGACTGGAACATTAATGCGAAACGCTTAATTTCTGAGCTTCCTCACTGTAAAATCAAGCAGCCCAATAGCTCCAGCAAAAGAAAATCTCTGGCATCAACATAGAAAAGCATCACATCCATACCTTTAGGAATGTGGAACCACAAAGTGTTGATTTTTGCTTCAAAATAGCCACAGTTCATTTCTGTCAGTCAATAAACTAATGGTTGCAGCTCTAAGTCACTGAATGGCTTCATGAGGTTAAAACCCTGTGTTGAACACAGTGAGGGAATATGTTTTGGAAAAATGAGGTTTTCTCCCTCCAACAGAGGGCTGAAGCTGCTCTAGAGTCACTTTACTAAACAGTATATGTTGTTTACTTTGTCAGCTTTCCCTTTAATTTGTCACTCATTGTCACGCTCCTCTAACTGCATGCTACAGTAAACAGTTAGAAATAGTAGACCTTACTCTAAGGTCTGTGCCAGTACTGAAGAGTTTTCAGGCACAGACAGTTCTTTTGGTTTCTTTATCCCAGGACTAATCAAGGTCTGGGAAAGTACTTGAATCCACTTTCAGTACTGATTTGATCCAATTATGAATGACTTGATTTGTACAGGAGTGGATAAACTGCTCTTTAACCTTATTTGAACGAGACCTCAGTACTTTCTGAGCTAGACTTCCATTTTCAGAATATCACATTCTGCTCTTACACGGATCTGGCAGTCATGACAAACCTTAACTTCCTAACAGATCAGACATTATATTGATGGATGTTATTTGGCTTGACTGAAAAGAGAAATCAAATTTTAAACCAACATGACTCATATGTGATGCTTTTTGACAGTAAGATCACTGTTAGCAAAATAAAAACAGTCTTTTTGTATGAAGTCTGATTTCAATCACATTTAAAAAAGAAACTAGATTTTTTTTGTTTATTTGTTGTGGTGTATAGTCTGTGGTTTTACTCTATACATGTAACTTATTCCATCCCTCCATCTTACTGCATTCCTCCACCAGCTCCACCACCTCCTCCATCCAAGTGCTTTACTTTGCTCTTATGCTCCTCGGCATCCGGATCACGACAAGTGCACTCATCCTGATTGCAGTCTGCTCCGAACTGAATGACCTGTCAGTAAACAAGCACAACATTCAGCGCTCTGCTTCCCAAAGCCAGTTTAAATCTCTAAATCTGTGACTGTACTCAAACAAAAACACAAGATGTGACTTTTCTGGCATATCTGGTGCATCATTTTTAATGAATGATTAAACCAAGCATTAGTTTTTCTGTCTAAGATCATATATGTTAAAATCCTGCTTGTATATATGGCTCTCTCCAGTATAAGAAAGTGGAATAAAGACATAGAACCAAAGTATGAAAAGCAGTAAGGCAAAAGGAAGCATTACATCAGGATGCTGAAAAAACTTAGAAGAAGGAATCTGGACATAGTTTTAGGTAGAAGACGTTTCACCTCTCATCCAAGAGGCTTCATATGTTCTGACTGACTGGTGTTGAGCAGGAGGTATTTATCCCCCTCGGTGGTGTTTCAGTCCTTTGATGCCCAACAATGTCCCCCAACGACTGAGTCTTTACAGTCCAGTATCGATGAGAGTCGTTACCTGTCTTTGAACCCTCACCTGTGGACCGATGCCTATTGGCCTGGTGAGCATGTTTGGGCAGAGATTTCAAAACAGAGTTGTAGATGGAAGACAAGTTGTGTCTTAGTCCACCACCCCTATTTAGTGAGAGGTGCTCTAGTTGAGACTCTGGTCCACTGGGGTTGACCCTCCTGTGTTGGGCCATGCGTTTGTGAAGCGGCTGCTTAGTTTCACCAATGTACAAGTCGTTACACTCCTGACTACACTTAATTGCATACACCACATCACTCTGTTTGTGTCTGGGTGTTTTGTCCTTCGGGTGGACCAGTCTCTGCCACAGGGTGTTCTCTGGCTTAAAGTTGACTGGGATATTGTGGTTGTGAAAGATACTTTTTAACTTCTCTGATAAACCAGCCACATAAGGGATGACAGTGTTATCCCCTCTTGTTTCTGGTTTCTCCCTGTTGGTGTTGGGCCTCTTCCTTGCTTTGGTGAAGGCCCACTTGGGGTATCCACAAGCCCTAAGGGAGTTCTGGATATGTAGTTTCTTCTTCTTGATCCCTTCTGCAGTTGTGGGCACTTCCTCTGCCCTGTGATTTAGAGTTCTGTTAACTCTAAATTTGTGTTGCAGTGGATGGTGTGAGTCAGAAAGACAGTATTGGTCTGTGTGTGGGTTTCCAATATTCTTCCACCTTAAGGCTTCTGTCTCCTTCTGTGTGGACCGCACAGTCCAAAAAGGCCAGACAGTCATCTTTGGAGTCCTCATGAGTGAACTTGATGTTAATATCCACCAAGTTGATATGCTTGGTGAAAGCCTCTAAATCCTGGATCCTGATTTTAACCCATGTGTCATCCACGTAGCGGAACCAGTGGCTGGGAGCGGTGCCAGTGAAGGAAGACAGGGCTTTGTCCTCAGGTTGGCAAATATTGGAGAAACAGGGGAGCCGATAGCACAGCCGTGTTTCTGTCTATAGAAGTAACCCTTAAACTTGAAGTAGGTAGTGTTTAAACAGAAGGGTCTGGGGTGAGGTTAGTCCTGTTGATCAGTGTGTCATCCTTCAGCAGTCTCTTCTTCACTGTCTTGTCAGCCTCTGTGGTGCACATGAACAAGGATGTGACATCATATGAATCCATGGTCTCATTCTGGTCCAGCTGCAGTTGTCTGACTTTCTTAATGAAATCCTGGGAGCTTATTATGTGGTGTCGTGTGTTTCCCACCAAATAGCCCAGAATAGTGGGATACTATGACCTGGACGACTGAGAATTTGCACAGACATATTACATCAGGACTTTCAGTAAAAGCAGAGTCAATGAAAAATGCAAGACTCCCAGTAGGGATGTTACATTTCAACTGTAGCAAATAGCACAACGTTGAATGGCAAAAACAGACAATAAAAAAAACATTTGCTTCAACTGACCTAGCAGCTAGTGAATAGTTTTGTGTTGAAAGGTAAGTACAGCTTAGTAACTCAAGAGTGGTCTTAGTACACTTGTTGCATTTCCTCACAGTTTCAAAGAGAACTATGGCCCTCTGGAGGCCAATAAAGTGCATGATGCCAAATGGTTCAACGTGGCCTTTGAATGGAGAAAAACCTTGAAGGTCTTTGGGGGGAAAGAGGGAGGCATGCACTGCCCTGGAGGTAAATGGATGAACACATGTTCAGAATCAACAACAAGAAGCTGCCAGCTCTTGTCTCGGAAGCAAGCCATCACCACAGGTTGCAAAATAAACGCTGGTGCCCCGCGAAACAGTCTGTTGCAAGAAATGTAAACATTCACTCCTGGAGAGGGGGAGTGAGTGGATAGAAAGAAAGAAATGGAGAAGAAGAAAGGAGAGAGGCAGAGAAAGAAAATAAGAATGATGGCCAGCAAAGAGCGTGGGAGGTAGCAGCTTTTCAGCCTTCACTGCTGATTGCACTTGCTTTTGGAGGGAGACGGGGTTGATGGCAGGGTAATAGTTTCACTGAGTGTTCTCAGCAAGCTGCAGAAGGCCCAGCTTCACTTAAAATACCAGTGGTCCCATTAAAGATGAACTGGTGTAGCCATTAAATGTTTCCTTAACATCTTCATCTTGAGTCACTGATTCGGGCAAACAACAAGCCAAGCAATAATCTACCTTTGATTCCTTCTAATAACTTTTCAGAGAAGTGAAGGCTTGTTTTTGCTTCATCCACAGAAACCAAAGCCACAACTTTTCTCCTTCTCTTTTTTTAGTTTAGTCTGTCTGCCATTTACTGTAACGTATTCATGAACACAATTCATGTGAGAGAGAGGGTGGGTTAAAGTGATGAATTCAACGGTGCAAGTTATCAAAACAAAATCTACAATAGTACATAAAGAACCATGTCATCTTTGTCTGCCTTCTGCTCAATCTTTGCTGCTTTTACTACTTTGGCCATTATTCAGATTAAAATACAGTCTCAAGTTGACAAATCAAAGAAAGATTGTATATTTCCATAGTGAATGTGACAATTCAGACCTTTTCTTCTGGAGCCTTTCCCTGGCCAATCACTGAATCCCATTTGAATCATCTCTCGTGTACATCTCCCTTGTCATTGCTGCAAAGAGTCCTGTAAATAAAACCAATACTACCCAAACTTCATAAAAAAGAGGCAGCTGGCCCCATTAGACCAGACTAGATGCATATATTGTAGAAGAGTCTCTAAAGTGGCCATGCTTCTCACACACTGGTGTAAAACTCCCCAAACTTTCAAGATTTTCCTTGTGTAGCAGCAGAGAAAATATGTGATATGGGTTATGCTGGGTTAAAAACCTGTAATTTCCTATGCCTGAATAGGTCGAGCCACACAGAAACAACAAGTTCTGTAAACAAACCCAGCTTCTCATTAACCCCCTCTGCTCCATCACTCTGCTGGAGCCGCAGTGGCAGTCAGGATGTTGACCCTCACAGCATTTTAGTTCATTTCCTCAGAGCAAGCCCTGCTCACTGAACTGCTGTTTTACACTGACCCAGTAAATTGTAGAATGCCAGACACCTTGCTGCTCCCACCCATATAACCACCATCTTCCCTTTCCCCTGTAAAGGAGCAGTTAGTGGCAGACTAGCATTTATTATGACTGCAGATACAGACTCGTCAAACTTCTCCATTTACGACAGAGCTGCCAGTTAGTCATGGTGTGCCACGGACATGGAGAATACAGCTGAGGCTCAGATGAAGCGGGGCCCCTGAATGAGTGTCATAAATATGTGGCTGTACAGTAGCCAAATAGGGTGTAGTGAGAGGAGGCGGGGGTGAGCTACTTCCCAAATGTCCACATGGGAAAGAAATTCTCATGAAAGCACAAAAAATAAGGGAAAAGAAGTGTTTATGTAGAAGCAGCTAAAGGAATGAGTGGCCTGGTTTCAACCACTGGCCCTCCATGGGCATATTCATTATATTCATACCATTCCTCTTAGTCACCCAATAAATACAGCAGTCATTTAGCGCAATTAGTGTAATGTGGGGTAATGTGTAATTTGCATTTTGTAGCGAGCATGAAGAAGCTTTCACCAGGGTATGTTAAGATGGATAAACAAAAAAATAGCCAACATTCAACAGACTGATTAGACCTGCCATGAATGCTCTTAATTTATGCTTTTTATTTTAATGCAATTAGATTATTGGGCTACATCTGACTGCATTGTTGCAGTACAACAATGTTTATCAAAGATGGTTTAAAATACATTTTTGGAACCTCACCAAAACAAAATTTTTTATTTTCATGTGCTATGACTGTTATAAAGTAATGTAGAACAACTGTGGTTCAGTGAGTAGAGCGGTCGTCTCCCAACTGGAAGATTGGAGGTTCGACTCACGATGCCAGCAGTCCACATGTTGCAGTGTCCTTGGGTAAGACAATGAACCCCAAGTTGCCCCCAATGGTTAGAGCCATCAGTGTGAGTTGGCGCCGCAGATGGCTGCCTTGGTTCTGTACCGAAAACAAATTCCTTGTGTGTAACATACTTGGTCAAATAAAGTGATTATCCTTATAAAGTCTCATGAGGTAGAGTATCGCCATATACAAAGTGTGTTCTGACATCCTGAACCCTGACCAGTTCCTTCAACAGTGAAATAACGGCTTAGTATAAGAGGTGATAGAGTGTATTGCAGCTTGCAGCAAAACCTGCTTACACACCATCTGAGTGAAAAAGCTGCAGGGCACAAGTCTCTTCTGTTGTTTTAGGTACAGATGGGAGAGACTAAATAGGCACAGTTGTTAAAGGGAGAGAGGGGGAGGTAGCAGGGGTCTGTGTGTGTTTAATTTGTTTGCTTCGTCTCCTGCATAGTAGCACAGTACACCTTCCAAAAGAGACAAAATTCTACTACTGTAAACAAGAAGGATCTGGTTTTGAATCCAAATTCAACCTCTAAGCTCCTTCCCAACTGCAACATGTGAGCCTGAAGCAGGCCAAACAACACCTTGACACACCACTTCAAATGGAGCAGCCAGAAATGATAAGTTATATTATTTATGTATTAAAGAAACCTTGAAATCTATTTTTTAATAGTCAGAATAATAATAATAATCATCATCATCATCCATCTTTCTTTTCTTATGTAAATCTGGCTAACAGCAGGTATGTACAGCACTGGAAATGTCAGTTTTTGTACCTTTTTAGTGGAGAGTGTGGATGTACAGCAGTCTCCTCCATCATACTGGCAGTAGGCCCTGTTGTTGATGGTGTCACACCAGCCATCCCCTCCAAAAGGCTAGACACAAATTATAAACAAGAAACAGTGTTATACACCGTGGAAAGTTTCCAAATAAAGATGCAATGTCTTGAAAGATCTTTTCAAACTGTTTAAAACAGTGCAAAGGAAGAAACAAAATTATAGAGCTTCATATTATTCAAAATTAAAGCATACAAACAAAAATACATTATGAACTAATGTATTATACAAATAAAACAATTTTTGCAATATGACCATGAACTTATAAAATAATCAAACACATTTTTAAAATTCAGCTCATCATTGTGAAATTATTTTCATTATATTTTAAATATCTGCTTATTATTATGTAATATTATTTCATCAATCTTGTTTTCACATTAACAGACTTTATTACAGATAGTGTTTATTTAATTCCAGAAATTTTTATTTTAAAATGTAATTTCCCAAAAGTTGGCTTTTATTTCAAAATGCCTTTTTCCCAAGGGCCTTTTTATCTCATAATGGTTTTTCAGCAAATTAACTATCGGTGAATCCTAGTTCTCTTATTTTATTGTTCGTTGTTTGTTGTTCCTTGATCCTCGCTTGTTTGTCATGATGAAGGACATCCCAAAGCTTCTGAGAAGTGAAGGGCAAGGAGGCTGCCTGGAGGAGCTACGTATAACCGAGAAAACACAAGTGTATCCTTCGCAGAAGTTTGTTATGAATTCACACACCCCTTTATCTGAAATCAGTTTGTGACTGGAAGGCTTGAGGTAAGGGCATCTCATGTCAGGTAAAATGTATTTCCTCAGTTTCTCTCTCCACCAAGTTTCTCCTTGCATCTTTTCCTTGCATCTTATGTGGGCAGGACTAAGACGCAAGGAAAAGATGCAAGTGAGAGAAGTGTGAATTCAGTTAGGAGAACTGGGATTCATTCACCTTATGTCTGTAAATCAAGGCAACCTGGGCAGAACAGTTATGTGATTGGCTGCTTGTTTCAGCTGCAGTCAGTAACGGCATGCTAATTGGCTGCAGTCAGTAATGGAATGCTAATTGGTTGTAGTCAGTAATGGCATGCTAATTGATCAGCTGTCACACCCACTGCTCTAGACTGGGGGGAATTTGTCTGAGTGACAGAACCTTCTCTATAACAGTTGGGATTGTCTCCTCTAGCTATGCAAATATTACTTGCAGCATTCCCTGAGGATCTATTCTTGGCCCATTACTGTCTTCTATCTAAATGTTACCCATCGGTCAAGTTATATGCAACTCAAATATTTCTTTAGTTATGCAAATGACACACAAATCTAGATATCCATAAATCCATCAGACTTATCTTGGTTGCCTCACTTTCAATTTGCCTTTCAGACATACTATAAGATTCTGAAGTAACATTCAGCAGTTGAATGATGATAGCACTAAAGTACGGGTGTTTGGTACTAAAGCACACAAGAATTGCACATATAAGACCAAAAATCTCTGAGTGGTCTTTGGTTAGGATGTGTCCAAGAATTAAAAAATACCAGCATATTACCACAGTTGCCACTTCCTTGTGCTGGGTACCTCTAGTGCTCAGACTTGAATTTAAAATTCTACTGCTTGCCTTTAAGGTAATGGTCAGTTTTGTCCCGCCCTAAATTGCCAACCTTCTTTTTCCTTAAACCCCTTGTTCCTGTCTCAGATTTGTTGACCACCTGCTGTCTGCACCAAGGGCAAGGGGACAATGTACCAGTGTCCTCCTTTAAATCTTTTTTAGACAATTTTTTTATAAACTTGCTTTTAATGAATGTGTTTTAGTTTTAAAGTGTTTTTTTCTCTTTTATTCTTTTTATATATTTATGTGTTTCAGGATAGTTTCTATTGCTTGATTGCACCACGCTTATTCTAACCTATAATATTATTTAAACATATTTTGGAAAAGAGCTAAAAGAAAAAGAAAAAAAATCAGATTCTTCCCAGAAAACAGATTTTCAGTGGTACAGTTGCATTGTTTGGAACAAATGTTAATGAACCAATTAAAATAAACACATGAGCAGCACAGTCTAAGCCCAATTCAAGTTGTGCTTTCAATCATCCCAGAGTCAGTCACATGGTCATTTGCTGACAAAGCTTACAAAACAGGTTAGCCAATGAGAAAGGAGGCATTGGTTCATAGAAAAGCTAGGACATGTCTTCAATTGAATCCAGAAGCAAGCCTGAGGGATTTATTTAGTAAATGGTTTACATATCCTGTAGTTTCATGTGGGATATACCAAACGTTTTACTTGCGGTTGGAGTTAACACTTAAAGTAAGGCACACCAACACATGCACATTAGAAGCTGCTACAGCACTGACTGCATGAAGCTAAACATAAAGAAAAGCACACCACAGCTGAGCAGTGACAGTTAAAGATGGCTTCCTAGTTTAAACATTCTCATATTTAATCCATAAAATAAGTATTACTATACAACTAAAAATATATAAACTCTATTATTAGATGCATGGTGTATTGTATGCCACTGTTTTCTTGAAATGTTACAAACCTGTGTTTTCTTTAATAGGATAAAAAGAGTCTTCAAGCTGTTTTTGTAAAGCTCTGACCAGCGTGTGGGTATTCTTTAAGAAACTCTAGAGTGACCCACACATTTGTGGACAAACACAAAATGAAGAAAGCGTTTTTTAAAGTCTTTGACCAAACATAGAGGCTTTTCCTGAAGTCCCAACAGTTTGAAAATAAGTGCTGGGAGCCAAAGATACTTTTGCCTTTCTCCAATGTACTTATGGAATCATTTCAAAGACTTGAGGTTCTACCTAAACAGACAGATGGAAATGCAGCTGCTGAGAAGATTTTTCCCAAATAGCTACTGTGGCATAAATAAATCAATTTAATTGGTCTGTTTTTAAGTAAATACTTTACCAGCAATTGCACCAGATGCCTCCCCTTGATCACTGCTGTTATCTTTGAATTACCTCTAGTCTCAGGAAGTCATGCATAATATAGATTTGCTTAATTGTATCCGAATTTTAAAAATGTTCATAGTTGAGCTTTATTTGTAGACCCCACACTTTGCCCACATGAGGTTAATTTTGATGTCAGGACTCATGTTGAGGTTAACTAGTATTTACATTCCCTTCCAGGCAGCATATACCTTACCTTCTGCTCTTAACAGCAATGCACAGACCCATAAAAAGTATTCAATCAGTCAGAGTTTAATGTGCACTTTGGACCCCCCCATGTGTAACTATTACGTCATCTTGCTTGTATTTTACATTTATACAGCAGCTTCCTTCAGATCTATGTAAAAAAGACAATCAGCAGCAATGAACCCCATAAATATTCTACCTCTTAGCACTGGTGGTTTTAGGGATCATGTGCTGTCATCAGCACATGCCAAGCTCTTCACCAAAACATTATAACACAGATTTGAATTCTCATGAACACACTTCTGTCAACAATATATATATATATTTTTTTTTACTTCTTACCAAGTACAGTATGTACATCATTCTTTTAATAGAGAACATTTTATCATCATCCCTTCTTTAATCTGTTTCATCCCTCACTTGGGAGAGAATGACATTTACCCTTTTCTCTTCTGCATGTGATATTCCTATTGACAGAAAAGACCTTTCAGGGAGTCCAAGAGAGGTGTCTATGTGTGTGTATACATCTTTCTGCATTTGTGTGAATAGATTTTAGTTTGATACATTCATGACTATTTTTACAGGATCATAAGAAAATAATATTGTGAAAGTGTACTGTAGAAGTGTGTATAAAAAACAGATCACCCTAAAAACCCAATTTGCGGTATGTGTGGTCTTGACTGTAATCCATGTACTATATTTTTTGTTATGATTGGCATATTTTAAGTGCATTTCAAGATAATGTGCTGTAGACAGTGCATGTGAGCAGAGGGGAGCGCAAATGAGCAAGGAGCGGGAGTAGGGGGATTTGGGACAGAGCACAGAGCAGCTTTTTTTAAAAAGGAGGGAGCGTCGCCCTATGTTGCACTCCAATTTTACTCTGGTATTGCTCCCACCATGAGCCTAAAAAGCATGCTCAAGCTTGATAGGATGAGGCCCCTTCAGTGGTGGCCAAGGGTTCTTCATCCAGGATGCTGGCTTCACAAGGGTCCTGCTGTGGTTGGTGGTTGGCCTTTGGTGATGTCTCAAAATTAGACAGGATTATTCTGATGCCATCTTCAGAGCTTAACAAATGATTCGGCTTAAGTAAACTTGGCTTTTGACTTTGCTACCAAGTTTCCCTTGTCTACAAACTTTGGCATGCTTTACATCAGGTCAGCTTCTTGCCAGGTTACACTATAAAGATTCAAAAATCACTATAACATTACTGAACAGAAAAACAAAACAAAAATAAAAACAACAAAAAACTTCTTGTAGCAATGTGAGCATAAGAAAAATTAATTTTAGACAAAACACAAAAACATGCAGAGGCTTGACGGAAGACGTGCACACTTTGGAGGCTCGAACTTTCTTCAAAATGGCTTCTCATTATAAATGGAAACAAAACAAGTGTTTAGGTGAGTTGAATATTGCCTAAACGATTATGGTATGGCCAGCATTTACAGATGTACTCGTTTACATGATCCCACCCCTAGTTTCTACTTTTCTATTCCCAGTTCCACATCTCATGCCTGACCAAGTGGATTGTTCTTGTCTTGTAGTGTGAGTGAAGAAAATATCAGCTGCACCACAACCAAGCTACAAACAGTTCTGTTCCATCTAGAGTGAGGTGTGTGTGGGCCCACATTTTCCAGTGAAAAACAAGATGATTTTGAGAGCTACTGTAATTTTGTTATTGGTCTATGTTTAATCCTAGAGGCAACAGGATCAGGGTAATTATTTTTGTGAATCTGTTGTTAATTTTGTTGAGAATAAGTTTGTATAAATTGTTTTGTACGTTTTATTTATTTTGTTTAGGTTTGTTATTATTTCCCATTTAATTTATTTCACTAAATGTTTGCTTACTTTTATTATTTTCTACTTATTCTAAATACAAACCCCAATTCCAATGAAGTTGGGACATTGTGTAAAGTGTAAATAAAAACAGAATACA